GCTCACAAGTCAGGCAGCCAGGGAACGGACTGGTGTGTGAGTTTAAATCTGGAGAGCGGTTCTAGACAAAATGTGGCCCCCAAAGGACCTTATTTTAGAAGAGAGCTGCTTTGGCACTTATAAGTTTAAAAGTCATGGTAATATCTTGGGGTTTGCCCAGAGAATTATCTTTCTAAAAGGGCTTTGCAATTTATCAATAAATGACAAAATAGAAAACATACTGACTTTGGATTAGTACAAATTTCAGGTTCAATGTTTATGGTTTGGGGACCGGATAAAGGTATATCAAGTCCACTCCTTTCGAGTCATTATCTCTTCATTGAGTTTAATAAATTTTCTTGGTCCCCTCAATTTCTCCCTCCTAATTTGCGGATGTAGTAAGAATCCGGAAGACTTGGATCGTGATCACAGCTATTCCATTGATCAGCTGTGGTTTAGGAAAGACATGTCACCTCTTGGGGTCTCAGTGTAATCATCTCCAAATAGAGAATCCCTCGTAATCCGCATGGCCCTTTTAAAATCCGATGTTCTATGACTTCTGCTCCTTCTTCCTTTGATTACTGACATTTTTCTAAACTAGAACCAACTAGAGGTTCTCCGCCTAAGTTCATGACCTAACATTTTACAGAGGCAGCATGATGTGGTCGTTAGCGACATGGATTCTGAATGGGTCACTTCTTGACGGTGGTGACTTGGAGCAAACTATTGAATTTCCCAGAGAGCTTCAGATTTCTTTGAAATGTTGTTAATAATGTTACATATCACAGAGGGTGAAATGATGGTATTAGTGCATAAAGAGTATACAAATTGATCCTATTGATATAAAAGGCATTAAGACTAGTGCCTGCTCAATAGGAAGTTTTACATATATGTTAATTATTATATTACCCATGAGAAAATAAACTCAAGAACAATCTTACTATTTCCTTTTCTATCGATGAAATACAGGTAAAATAGGAATTGGAGGAGTAGTCCTAGTAGATTATACTTATTTTAACCCATGACGTTTTTGGCTTCAGAGCATAAACACCAGTAGGGCTAGCCTTCAGAGTAGGAAGGGTAATGGTCTTTCTGCTCTTCAGCTTACTGGAATTAGATAAGTTATTGGGCAAAAACTCTACCAGCCCAAGCTATGCATTCCACTGCCGGCTATTTCACCACTGAAGTTTCTAGCATCTAAAATTTAAGAGTAGTGGTCCCCAACCAAGTCAGGGAGGAGCGCATAATAATATTTGCATATGATGAAGTAGTGGAAGTAAACAATTTGAAAATGGCCCTTAGGAAAGTTGTGCCCAAATTCTCCTAATCCCCATCCCCATCCCCAAGAACTATTTTAAGAGTCATTAAAAGGCTAATATTCTGCAGTGGGGTCACACCTAGAGGAAAGTGGAATTATGGAAAAGAAATTGGAAAGAGAGTGTGAACAAAGTTAGAGACAGAAAAAAAATTGATAAATAGTTTAAGTAGGTGGTCCGAACATGAATGTGTCCTTCTTCACAGTTTTCTTTAGGTTTGGTCCTGGGTCACTTTTTTCATAAACACCCCAGGCTATTAATTGACCTTTTTTGAGAAAGGAATCACCCTAGCCAACGTTCCCTAGAGAGAACTCCAAACCCAGAGGTTGAGATATAGCTACCCTAACGAATCTACCAGCTCATCTTCCCAGCTTGACTTACCTAAACAGCGATGACGTCCAGTCCAAGCCTTCCCCTTGTCCTGGTGGCCTTACATAGGAGAGCAAATAGAAGATGTCCCTGCATGACTCGTTTTCTTCTCTAAAGCAGGGTTCAGTGACTGCATGTCCACTGAATTCTAAATAAAAAGTCAGGCAACGTGGGTAACAAGTCCACAAAGACCATACACAATTATCTTGTGCTGTATTTAAGACAGCTGCAATTATTCTTATAATCCTATGGTTGACTGTGGCTTTCTGTTATTTCCCGTGCTTGGTGACAGCTCTGCTTCAGCTCAGGCCTTCCTTCTCATCCCAGTGGCTGCAATAGCTTCCCACTTGCTTTCCCTGGCTCTGGTCTGTTTTCACACCAACCCGAGTCATTTCTCATAGCCATAATAATTTTTGTGATGTTCAGGTCGTGAAAGGATATATAAGTAGATAGCAAGTAAGTGGATGGCTGTTACTCCCACTTCTGCAAGATGGAGGCATGGGCTTGACCTGTCACCCTGATGCTTCCCCAGCTCCTAGGAGGAGTGGTTCTTCTCCAGGGCATGTGACAGCACTTTTTAGGTGTGTCACAATGAATGGCAAACTACTAAATTTCGTAACTAATTGCAGCAGTTTAGCTATTTAGCAAATTATTTTCACTCATTTAAACCATGATAAGATTTCTCGAGGTAGATAGGAAAAAAAGTGGAATTATTGCTATCCATATAGAAATCATACGTGATGCATTGCCTTAACGTGTCGTCCTATCATGTATGCCAGGAAAGAAAATGTTTGCCTGTTGCTGTTAAGGAAATCACTTCTTGAAGGAGACAGAAAAATAACCAAAATGTTTGCAATGTATGGAAAGTCTTTCATTTTTTTTCAGTCATTCACAGGTGTCAGATGCCACATCTTTTTTGGTGTCTGATGCTTTATCCGGATATCTTCTTTCGGGTGTCCACCGGGAAGTCATAGTAAGCCATGACAAGACATTAGCAGTTTAGCTAGAGTGTTAAGCAAAAATCCATTCCTAATTTGCATGCCTAAAATATGAAAAAAATAACCACGAGCACACTGTCAGCCAAGGGCAGATAGATAGAAATATAAATAAATAAAATGAACAAACTGTCTTCAAAGGAAATCAGAGAAACTTCACTTGCTTATTCGCCACCTTCAGGAAAGGGATTTTGTTTTCCTATGTATTCCTTTTTTTTTCCCCAAAAATATTGGCAGCAGCATTAAAATTGGGGGCAAAGGCAACGGTAGATTGTCGAGAAACTTCATTTGTCCTGTCTTGCAACCTAGTAGAGAAAACACCTTTAGGCGTCCTTTTCGAAGGCCATTAGAATTGTAGAATTTGGAGGTGAAAGGAATGGAAAGAAACTGACTTGGGTCTATTCATCCTTGACCTACAGGCACTGGACACCCAGCCAGACACTTCACCAACCCCCACACAGGCTGCCCTTTCCAACCCTCACACACATGCACATGCTCCCACAATTATGAAAGATTCCAGAATTGTAACAATCACTCATGTGCCTTCAGAGGAGGTTTTAAGAATGGCTCAAGGGAAGAGTGAAAGCCTTAGCAACAATTTTGAAAGATGCACGCACAGCACTCACCTCACCCACTTCTCCGCCCAGAACACACACCGTTTGAAATAGCTGACAAATGTTGGCTGGTGGGTTAGGCTTTGAGAAACAGCAAAGACTTCCCCAAAGTGCCATTGTTCCTAAGCCAGTTTGGGCATGTTGTCTTTTACATTCCATAACTCGGCTTCTCTCACGTGTCCTAAACCGGTTAGCCTTTGGAGAGTGACGGTTGGAAGCACAACTAGTCCTCTCAGATCTTACTTCAGGTGTTCTGTTCCCTTCTCAAGTCATACCCCCCAGGGCAAAAGGGGGGCATGACAAAATAAGGAAGCATCAGTCAACCTGAAAACCCCTGTCAAGCCCCCGTATGTAAGTGAAGGCTTCTGAGGATTACGGGTCGGGAGCAATCTTATTCCGAACCCAGTTCTTAGCACACCTGGGTGATGCAATTACTGCTGATTTAAGCTGACAAATGACATCTCGAAAGGATTTCCTTTTTCTTCCAGAAGTGTGTTTTGACTCTGTTGGTGTTTTTCTATGGATTAGAATGATTCAGAAAGAATTACATCAAAAGAAAGAAGGATATCAAGACGTTCTTGTGGCCTTTTCTGTCTGCCATTGGTCAAAATGAGGTGATATGTGGGTTTAAACGCTTGTCCCACATGAACTTCCCATTCTGGCTAGTCTAAGTGCAGAGATGATGCATCCATTGAGACCCTGGGAAAAGGTCATGTCTCTTTTCTCCGCTTGGGTGGGCAGGGGAAGAAGGGTAGCAGTGACGACCACCCTTTGACTTTGTCCATCTCCTTGCTAACTTCTGCTCAATCTTCCCACCTCTGATCACCCAGCAATCAGATTCAGGCAAGCAGATTATGTAGGATCTTTGAAGACAGAAGAGAAGCATTTAAATTCCAAAGCATTGTTTTATAATGTGATCTTTTATCACAATACCATGTGCCAATTCTTATTGCCTGACAGCAGCTTCGCCGTATGGGTACAGGAAGAAGTAATGGCCTGTGCTTCACTTTGTTCCATCTTCAAGCTGCGCCTTGTTGCTCATTTAATCTATTAATTTCAAACATTCTTGCATTTATCCGCATTATCACCCTTCGAAGTCATGATACTGTCCCCATTTTGCAGAAGAGAATACTATCTACTTTTGTGTGTTATTTCCAGATTTGGAACTCCACAAAAGTTTTGAGACATACCCCCTGTAAGATCAAGATTATTCAAAAGTCATAATAATAATGGGTAGTAAGTAATAATAGATAGTAAGTAATAATAATGGATGCTTCGAAGGAAAAGTTAAGTATAAAAGAAGGTAATGTCTAAGGAGAATGAGTTGTAGCCCGAGCAGTATCACGGAAAGGAGACAAAACTTGTACACTGGTACTTTCTTAGATCCTTAAGGTGGCTCTAGACCCTGCTTTAGCAAAAAGGCTCCCCATGTGCTGTGCTCTCAGGTGAGATGGGAGGGATGAGGATTAGACAGATGCAGCAGCCACTCAGCAGGTACTTACTTTAAGCATGTCACATGGAATTGGAATCCTCACACATCCTGTAAGTCTGTAGAAGGAAATCAAAGAGTTTGCTGCAACTCGTCCTCTTAGAACTAGTCTGTGTCTAGTTGATCTGCAGCATTTCCCTAGCCAAGGGCCTAGAAATGCCTCACCCAAGGGGAACGGTCCAAAATCCCTTGCGAAGAGACGTCATACCAACTCACTAAGATCACTATGCTCTTGCAGGGTTAAAGATGATAAAATGCTCCCTGAAGGAATTACTCTCTGGCGTGGAGCACCGGGAATCTCTTCCACAACTACGGGCAACTTCACCTTCCATCTCAACCTTAGGCACCAGGTAAGAGCTTTAGAGAACCTCGGTTTGCTATAGTTTCCTGAGAATTAGTGAGCAATAAAACTTTGATTTAAAGCAGAATATGTGCTTTATCAGCTCCTCACCAAAATGAATTTGTCTCCACTTTTCCCATCTCATTAAGCTAAGCAAATATACCTCCTCCCACCAGTACTATACCCATAATAACCAAAAGTTATATACCCAGTTTTCATTTGGGTCACATTTAAGGCACTCTGGAAATGTAGGTTAGAGCCAAATTTCAGCTAGTCACAAATGCCTTTCTTATTATTAATCTGGCAAATTGATGAGATTGCCTTAGTATTCATATCTGCAAAACAGGGCCAATGAATCCTTCCTTCTGTGCTCTTTTCCTTACAGGTCTTCAGGGCATTAAAACCTCTGTTAACCAGAGAGCAGGGTAGGAGGTGGAGGGTGATCTGCTTAGTTAGTTTTAAATAGTTAATCCAAAAGTTCTATCATTCCAAACTTCAATGAAAATATTTCTGTAATATGTTGGCAACATTTCAGTTTAGTAGGTATAATATACCAGGAAGGTCTTTAATGATTGAGAATTGCAATTATCTAAGGGTAACTATATTGCCAATACAGCATGGCCATTATGCTCTGGCACTAGTAATGTCATGAATACTTTGTAGATTTTTTGTAAAGACTGTATGAGATTAGGTGCTTAAATCACTTTGCTGGTATAGCCATTATGGAATACAGTATGGAGGTTCTGCAAAAAATAAAAATAGAACTACTATGAGATCCAGCAATCCCACTTGTGGGTATTTATCCAAAGGAAATGAAATAAGCATCTCGAAGATATTTCTGCATGCCTGTGTTCATTGTAGCTTTATTCACAATAGCCAAGATATGGAAACAACCTAAGCGTCAGTCAAAAGATGAATGGACAAAGAAAATATGATAGACACACACACACACACACACACACACACACACACACACACGCACACCATGGAATATTATTCACTCTTAAAAAGAAGGAAATCCTGCTATTTGCAGCAACATGGATGAACCTAAAAGACATTATGCTAAGGGAAGTAAGCTAAACACAGAAATTCTGCTTACAAATTCTGCATGATCTTGTTTATTGTGGACTCTAAAATAGTCAAACTCATAGAAATACAGAGTAGAATGGCAGTTTCCAGAGATTGGGGAGTGAGGGAAATGGGGAGATGTTGGTGAAAGGGTATTTTTTTTAAAAAAAAAAAGCACTTTTCTTGATTCCTGGCTGCTAGTAAGTACTTATGAAGTGTTTCTTATTATTGTAATTATCAATTCTTATATCCAAGAAGGTGTATAAAATCAGGTTGAACATGTAATAAGTGCAGAGACTTCCAAAGATGTGTGTTTTGAAATAAATCCTTTGCGTAAATTTGTTTTTTTACATATAATTCACCTCTTTCTTTTACTGCATGGAGAATCATGCTTATGTTTACCCAAGGGTTTTGGGTTGCTGGATCTGGTTAACGGAGATGTCACTGTACACTTCCTCGCAGGTGGGACAGGCCTCAAGTGTCTGAGCCATCACATGTGCCATCACCTCGGGTCTGAACTTTCTAAAAGAAATATAAAAGTCCTGGGAATTACAGTTCCTGGCCTTCCTGACCTTTCTTTCCAGGATTTTATGAAACTAGGGGAGATAACTGTGGGAAAGCATGATGGACCAGTGGGAGGAAAGGTAGTCAGGAATTTCAGAGATTCATGTTTTGCCGCACTGCTTCCAATAACAAAAGAGCTACTACAGACTAGCACTGAGGTTTGCAGATGTTTTTCTTTGGAAATGGTTGGTAAATAGGTGTTCATGGAGTATCCTCTATTCACTAAGTAGGCACTGTGCTTGTTGCTTTTGTAAATATGGAAATTATGTTCCAACCCCCACGGAATCTAGTTCAATAAACAGGAATAACTCATGTAAAATAAATCAGAGGCCGAAGAAGGAATAAGTTCTAGTGTTCAATATAGCACAGTTGGGTGACTATAGTTAGCAGTAATATATTGTATATTTCAAAATAGCTATAAGAGAAGACTTGAAATGCTCTCAACACAAAGAAAAGATAAATGTTAGAGGAGACAGATATTCTAAATACTCTGACTTTATTATTACACATTTTATACATGTATCAATATATCACATGTATCCCATAGATATGTACAAATATTATGTATTAGCAAAAATACAGGAAAAAGAAGTTGATTTTCTCCCCTGGAACTATAGGGGAGAGAAGTTTGAAAATTTCACAATAAAAAGTCTTTGAAAGTAAAAAAAAAAAAAAAAAAATCAATCAATCCAATAGTGGTCAAATGGTTCTGGTAGAAGGTCAGAGGGGGGAGCAGTCAATGAGTGCTGGATAGATTGTTCCGGAAAGCGTCTTGTGGGAGGTGCATTTGGAAAGGTGGGAGCCATTGGGAATCTCGGGTCCTATGTACAGTGCAATGTGGACCAGGGAGGGGAAAATGAGGCACCTTGCACACAGCAGCTCAGCCTGACTAGAGGTGGGAATGCATGGTGGAGTGTTGGGGAGAAATAACATCTCAAATTTCTCAAGAACACATTCTTGGCTTTTGGTATTGCATATGCACGTGTGTGTCTGTGTGTGCGTGCATTGTGTTTATGTTAATGCAAAGTTGTTACAAAAACATAATTCGAATTTGAAAATTGTTTTGAGGAAAGGAAGACAACATATGTGGTGACACAAAGTGCTCCAATCCTGTTTGTGCTTTCATTTATTCTTTCTCGAGTCTTCTCTGTGATGATAAAGGGTTGGCAAGCCATGGATAATCAAAGCCACAGAAAATGATCAAGTGTAATTTTAGCCATTCAGTTTCACTGGCTTTTCCTATTATTCTTGAGCGCAGCTGTAGAAACAAAGTCATTTGAGTTATTGGTATTTTTCCCATTGGCTTAATTCCCCTACTGTATATGTTAAACAAGGAAATGGTTTAAAGCAGGCATATAAAGGGAGAATTAATCCAGACGACCTGGCCCACCTGCAAACCCATTCCCTCAGTCCTATGTCTGGTTTGGGAGTCCCTGAATTTGCTTTTGTCCCAGAGAGGGCCAGAGATAGTGATAGCAACTCATTGAGATCATCACTAAAGCTGATGCTTAATTTACTTGCATTTACTTCAAAAGCAAGGTATGTTCACATGAACTATAAAGCCTAAAAAAAAACCCCAATCAGGGCCAATCTCTTAGATGGTGGTATACATTTGGAGAGGTAAGTGTCATTTGAGGGTGAATTTCTGTGATATTTCATCAATGGAGTTTGTTAGCTCAGTTGATTCAAATGCAATGTTTAATGAATCAATGGCAGATCTTGCTCCCACTTAGTATTAAAGAATAAGGTTTTGTTTGTTTGTTTATCTTGTGTGTGTTAGTTTTACAGGGCAAAGATAGTTCCAGCTAGGAAATTAGCCAACATACTTCTTCTGTAACAATAAACAGTGATATAGACTGGATGGCTTAATAGAGACTAGTAGGTATTACTGGGGAAAATATAGTGTGTGGTATGTGCTATTTGTGATTCATTTTCGATGTGTTAATAGTATTTCATTCACATACCAAAAGCAGCATAATATTATTTATAGCTTTGCTGACAATGAGCTTGATGCTTTTAAAGATGCAGTCTTCAGGCCACCAGAAGGCTTTCCGGTAAGTTCAGAAACTTCTGTCTTCTATTCTTAGTACTTAAAGCACTCCAGACAGCCCTAACTTATACAGAAGTTATGGTCCAATATTTCATTGTATCCCTGGTATCGTTCCTTTCTCATAGAATAAGCAGTGTTATAAATAGTGGTTAGTCTGTCAGACTAGCACACAAAAGACTATTTAATAGATGGTAGTTAAATATATATTTGTTGGATGAATAAATAAACAAACATTAGCTCTATTCACTTGAGTTCTGTGTCCTTAAATCAAGGGATCATGTGATATAAGAAAGAGAAGGTATGTATTTCTTCTTCTTTTTCAGGGAGATAGACCTGTGCAATATTTTATGATGAATGAAAAGGCAGCTCATCCACTCTCGGAGACTTTTTGCCCTAGCCTTCAATCTCTTTATTATTGCCACTTCACTTTGGGTGAGCTTAGGAGAGTTCTGCTCGTTTTGCTTGTTCCACAATTATTTACTATTCTCTGCCTCTTCTCTGTCAAAACTCACTTCTTCAGTAAAACCGTTGTAATTAGATATTAGGAAGGACAGACTTAGATACAAATAATCCATATTATGTTGTGACTGACCAATAACACCATAACCACACCCAATCATTAAGTCTTTTAAAAAGTAGGTGTTTTAAACTCAAGTAGATATTGAAAGTTGTCTGTTCAGTGAAACAAGGAAAGGCAGAAACTTCTAAGCATCATGTAATAGACTTGGGTCAGGAGAGGAAACTATTGTCAATAGAAGGGTTTGTCTTCTTTGGGCATATCAGCTTCTCCAGGGACATCCTCCCCTTGGGTCTGCCTAGGTCAACTCTTACAGACCATGTTGAAATCTAACTGCGTTCCCACATGACTTCCCTCCCCACTTATCTTATTAACACCAATGAATGAGATCATAGTCATGATATCAACTTTATCTTCATATTCCCCATGTTCTTCTTGAGATACCAAAAATCATAAATGTTAGTTTTTCTTTCTTTTCCAACATCCAGCCCCTTTAAAGAACTTTGGTTCTTTAAAGACCAAGTGGTCCACTTAGTCTGTCACTGTTTCTAAGTAAAACCCTATTCAAGAACTAGGGAAATGATTTGTATAGTTTCTAAGGAAAAAAAATATGTGAAGTAGGCAGATGCCACAGTATTTTCATACAGAATTCTTCGCCCTGCGTGTGACATCTCACTGCCGTCTTTATCAGGGGATCGGGCGCCCTGCTACTTACTATCCCCATCAAAATATCGTATCTGAACCTTCATTACAAAAGCAGAAGTGTAAAATATTAACCCTTGCAGGGGCAGCTCTTCTTTCATCATGAGTC